GACTGCAGTGCTGCATTTGTTGAATTCATCGCTGATGTTATTTTGAAATGCATGTTGAACGTTGCCTCTGAACTTTCAGGATATGCACATCACCACTGCAACAAAGGGGCAGTCTATAAGTATGACCTCTTTTAATTCATTCAATCACTATGCCTGGTGCCTCCAGAGCTTTAATATTTATAAATCGCAAGGTCAGCGGAGAAGTTTGACAGTTACTTCTTTCCGAAATGCACTGATTGTTTCTTTACTTTTGTTTCACGCATGTTGTTCTTTACAGTTGGCTCAGTTGGGTATTTGGGGTTTGTAAACTGGTTTTTCACTGACCCGGTCTTGTTTACTAAATGTTGTTTTTCCAGTGATTTTAGTAAGTTCTTACATATTGTTCTTAATACTCTTATTTTACTTCTTATTACTGAAAAGATGATGCATCACTACTATTTTAAAAAGGGTTGCAGGTCTAGTATAAAGTATCATATTTCAGCCTGCTTACACTCCAAGTACTGACTGTTATATTTAAGCAGTGAAGTATCTCTTGTGTAATCTTCTGACTCCACATACGTGCCAAAAGCAGGAAGTATAAATTTGATTGGCATGAAAAGGACACTGTCATCAAAAAAAGTGTTATAATGACATGACATGTCACATGCCTCGCCTTTTTTATTTTTATTTTTTAATGTCACCTTTGGTTAGCCAAAGAAATAAAAGCCACTCCTTTTCTTTAGCACAACATCACCCAGTTTGCACTCTAACATATAAAAATCATTTGAAAACCTTGACTGTCTTTTTATAAGCAAACTACATGTATATTTTGCGCCTTATGGTCATTCTTCTCATGAGAAACACGACTGCTTTTTGTTAACCTTTTCAAAGTAAAAAGGAACTTTAAAAAATGAGTGCAAGTTCTGGTTCTTTCTTTGTTGTTGTTGTTGTTGTTGTTTACAACGGAGCTTTCTCGTTGTCTCATCGTCTCATCGTCTACTTTCACTCACACATGATCTCATGCATGAACCCCAAATGTCATCATTCCCTGACTTCAAACCAAAAACTGCAAAATAAATAAGATATTTAAAGTAATGGAACTAACACACATACAGAGATTCCTTCATTTTTGAGTGGGATGTGAAAAGAGGAAGAATTTTTAAAAGAGGAAGATCACAGAGAGGGTTCATGATTGCAGGGGTGTGGTATGGCTACGGGCAAATGATGTCCTGTGGTGACCTCTAAAGGGTGCAGGTGAAAGAAAAACAAGTCCAATGTGAATATTTAACTTAACAAATTGGGTTTTTAAAATTTTGCGTGGTGTGTTTGGGGGTTTGATTGCATTTGGCAGCAGATTACTGGAGCCGCATGGTGGGAGTGTTGATCCTCTGTCTTATAGCCTCATCCAAAATGGACAGCATACCAAACAGACAGAAATAAGAGACTTAAATCTAAGTTTTTAGGAATACCATTTAGTGATTACGTGTAGGCGCATGAAGGCGACATTTCAAGGAGGTATTTTAACATTTGCAAACACGCTGGTCATCTCACTTAATTTTCTTTTTAAGTAGTAATTTAGTGTGGAACAACCAGGGTCTAAATCGGGGTGGGGAACTCCAGGCCGTGAGGGCCGGTGTCCTGCTCGTTTCGGATCTCACCCTGAGTCAACACACCTGAATCAAATGCTTAGTTCATTACCAGGCCTCTGGAGAACTACAAAACGTGTTGTGGAGATCATTTAGCCATTTGAATCAGCTGTGTTGGATCAAGGGCACGGTCTAAATAATAAAAACAGTGATATCGAAGTTGTATGCTGGCTGACTGAAGATCTTGAATAAATAATTTTACTTTTAGCATTTAATTTGTAGTACATCATCTTCATTCCCTGAAATCTTTAATACACTGTAGATTTTGCCCTAATAATTCCCATACACTGAATACATTTTACTTCTGTTGTCCACAATGTTAAAAGCATCCCCTTAGTATAGTGTAAGTCCCCTTTGTGCCCCCAAATGTTGGCAGTGCCCATATGGAAAGAAATAGTAAAAACTTATATGTGATTTGCTCATGAAAGTGGCCACTTTCTCATTACTTTCATACATTGTTTTAGTAAGTATCCAAAACATACAAGTTTCATTATATAATTTTTCAAGGGATCTTATATCTGTTTTCACTCTTATATGCTTTTCATACAAGTTTCACACAAGACAGATACAAACTTTATAAGATTTATATATATATCTTTTCCATATGGGTGCCTCTACTACTTGCAGTGTCGTGTGGTGCACTGTCAGGGAGTGGCAGCTATGTTTTGAGGGTCTACAAAGTAAAATCCACATGAATGCCAGGAGAACCCTGCACTGTAAAAGGATGCACAGTATACTTCGCACTTCAGAGGTGATCAGAGTGCACTGAAACAGTAAAACAGCTCGAAATTCTTCTTTATTAGATTTGTGGTCACAGAGTCCTGCTTGTTGGCTTGCAGGGTGACATAACTGACAGGAATTCCTTTGCATCTTTGAGCTTTACTCTAACCCAGAGACAAGAACAAAAAAAAAAACATAGCCACATCCGATGTGATACATGGAGGAGTGGTTAACCCCTGACTGCCTCTGTAAGGCAATAAGAGCTTATTCAAAAAAGCAGAAAGAAAATCACTAATGAGAGCCTCTGATAGACGAACAATGACACAGTAAGCCTGCCAGTTCTAGATCACAGAGGCCTCAGTGTGTGGAGGAAGGAGACCCGGCAGAGCATCAAGCTTTAGTGTGGGGTGGACGGTTTACCCATACCTCATTAACCTCCTTACAGTAATGCCATTGAATACTCCCATTTTGTCTCGCCGACATGCAGATTACATCCTAAGTACCTAAAATGCTCTCCTTTTTCATGCTGCGATGGCACAACTTGGTCTTAGGAAGCACAATGTCACAAACCACATAAAAAAACATGATTTGTTTTTTTATAATTGCACAGAAAAGGTTTTTTTGAATGCACACCACATTTCAAAGATTGTTGCCATTTAAAAAAAAGGAAAAAGATTTAGGTGACAATTGTCATATGACTCATCCAGCCATTAAAGATACAGTCGATCATTGCTTCAACCTTATGTGATTAAAAAAAATGAATGTTTTACTAAAAAATATAGATCGATTTGTGTGTATTTACGTCTTCCAACGAACTGATGCGTTCACATAAACTTGGTAATAATCCATTAAAAATGCATAAGAGCAGGCCAGTTATTGGAAACCGCTATGTTGCCGCCATCTGGACATCTTGGTTCTGACTAATTACATTTTATGTATGTGAGCAGAAACTAGCATGTTTCTGCTCACATACATAAAAAGCATGTCAAATTGATATTGTCTCAATTTTGTTATTGTCAACAGCATAGAAGAGCGACCGTCTCCACTCTGAAAAGCTGACAACAAGCCAGCTGAAAAAAACCCAACAAGCACAGGTTATAAGCTAACATTACGCCATTTATGTTTGCCTTGAGTGTCATAAGAACCTTTGACTCTGATACTGAACGAGCAGGGAGAGCTCAGAAAGCTCACTTTTAAGGAAACTGGTCTTGATCTTCAACAAAATTCAACGGAGTTGAATTCAAGTAGTTCGCTCCTTGTCCGTACTCAGCCTCTCGTTACATTCTGTTCCGTAGATTTTATGTCATCTGTCTTAAAGACAAAACAAGGGAAGAGAAAAAGAATGGGGAATAGAAACTAATGGCCAGCAGTATTAAAAAGCTTAAACTAAAGAAAAACAAACTTAAAACAGACACACATCTACGTTAATACACATAAACACGCATACATATACGTGTAAAGTTTGCATTCTCTCCTGCTTACACTTATGATCAATTAACAAATCACCTAGTTAGACTAATTACATTTTTAACCAATTCAACATCTATTTTAATGAGTTACTGCACTGGCATTTCATAAGTACACAAAAAACTGACACGAACCTCCAGCATGTTTTGACCAGACAATGGCAGTTAGATGATAAAATATTAGGGGGTGCTCATGAACTCACAAATCATAATAAAGGGAACATAACAAATTTCATATCAAACATATGTCACAGCAACTACAAATGCTTAGTGGTATTAAGGTCACTCACGGTCAGCTAGACTGAACAACCAATAAAAGAAACTCTAAAAGAAATAAAGCAAAACATGGATTCTCACTTCCTGCAATTAGTGAGAGGAACTAAAAGAGAGGCCAGTTTGTCTGATATTGTGCAGTCATGGATAAGTAATCCATAATGTGGGACCCAAAACAAGTGATCCCCTCTGAGGAGGATTTCAAAGAATGTGCATAAAGGAATAGCTAATGGTCCTCTCGCTCATATGACATTTCCTCCTTTCATGTCACATGTGCTGGGTTAACAGCACATGCGACATGAAAGGTGGGATTTCTCCTACATCAGTGATAGTGAAATGCATATTTCATGAGAATGTGGAAATAAGTGCTAATAAGAACTGTTGTGGAAGGTTTGGTCCAGGGTACGGTGGTCCTAAGGTGCAAAACAAAAAACACACCACTTTGTTTAATTCATGTGTTTTCTCAATGAAAGGGTTTCTTTTATTCTGATTTTGAGGGCAGCGCAGTGGTCACCTCACAGCAAGAAGTTCCTAAGCTTGATTCCTAAAGCCAGACCAGGCTCCAGCCCCCCCACAGTGCTGATTTAGATCAGCAGAAGAAAACGGATGGATGGCTCTTTTGTATATTTCTATGTACATCAAGAGCAAAAAAAGAAAAGAAGCCGAGTCATATACCTGTTCAATAAATCTTTTTTCATACAATTAAAATAAAAAATAAAAAATAAAATTTCACTTTTTAATTTCATTTAAAACAAATTCTATTCTTTGTCTTGCATGTTTCATTTTGGCACCATGGGACTCCATCCCAGCTCACGCTTTGCATCGCAGTTTGCATCATCTAGATTAGCCACCTGTCGTAATCCACTGTGTCATTTTAATCCTACTTTGAGTGTTTTTTCTTCCAGTAACTCCTCCCCTCGTGGTCCTCTCTGTCCCTGCTGTCTCCTCTGCCACTCGCTGTAGGTCTCTGATCCTGTCTGCTCGAGGTAAGGCTGCTCAGCTCTAAATCATTCGATAGACAGATAAACACAGACAAATAACATATGAGCACTTTGAGGATATATGTATCATATTTTGTGTAGTAACTAAAAATCACATTAAAAACAAAATATTTTTGCTTTGATGTCAATTGACAGAAACCTTGTTTTTTACTTTGATTAATACGTCTTTCATAGTTTAAATGAAGGATTTATGCATTTGTGCTAAGTTTCTTCTATTGTTTGCTGCACTGCAATCAGGTTTGAATTTTGCTCTCTAAAGAGCCTAAAACACTCACTGAAGAGAAACTTCAGCACCTGTGTCATGATTCTTGGTTAAAGAGCTTTAACTCAATTATAACAATTATTTGGCTTTATACAGAATTGAAACTATATTTAAGCAAATTGTTTATATATATATATATATATATATATATATATATATATATAAACTTTTCAATTAAAAAATGCTTTCAGTCAAGCTGCTTAATGAGCAATACAATGTATTAAAGACCCACCTCTTCATTTTGAATGCTATTGCGTCCTCCTGGTGATGTTGTATTTGTGTAGTTCTCAGATTATGTCATACATCATTAATTGAAAGAGCGTCTGCATTGTCTCTTTTTGGTGTAATGTGGTCACGAATTCTGTTTGTGCCAAATCTTCTTCCTCCACAGTTTTAGCGTCGCTGCTGTGAGACGCTGCAACCATGGCTACTGTAAGTTCAATTTCTCTGCAACAGTCCAGAGTGCTCCAGTGTCACTTTATCTCTGTTTACGGCAGTTGGGTCAGTTTCTGGCCTCAGTTCAGTGGTTCAGTGTGGGCTAAAAGCATTAGAGGGCTTTGAGGTCTAACTGTCAGCACATGATGCTGCTTAGTATTGTTATTGTGCCAGTAAATGCTGGCTCTGGGATGGGTCCTTAAGCTGTTTTTAAGAAATGGCTTTAGAAGTCCTTTCTGCGATCATGTGAAGCAGATTAACCAGACGTTCGCTGGCATGCATCGTATGGAGTCCGGAGGTCCTTGGACCCATTTTTTGCACAATTAATGCATACTTTTATTTTTATTTGAAAACTACTGAAGCCTGAAACGATGAGGTAAAACACAAACAATAAAGGAGGATTTTAACGTGGATTTTTTGTCATGCAGACTGGTACTTTTCGCATGGTGTCAGAGGAGGAGCAAGCAATGAGGTCAAAGCTGGAGCATTTGACAGTGAAGGATCATGGGCCTGTGTTTGGGCTGTGCCACAAACTGCCTGGACACACTGTGCAAAAGGTAAAGTAAGCATAGTTTCTAATGGCAGCAAATACACGAGTCATATATATGGTCCTTGGATGGCTCAGGGTTCGTGCTGATGTTACCCTTCCAGGCGAAGGATGAGCTGAATGAGACAGATGAGAGACGGGCATCATCACTGAAGGCCCTGCGGGCCTTGATGAAAGAGAGGGCAGCCGATGGAGACGGCCTGGCCAAGCTGATCCTGGAGCGCTTTGGGGACAAACCCGACTCTTTGTTCCTGCGCTTCCTCAGAGCTCGCAAGTTTGATGTCGACAGGGCCCACGAGCTCATGAAAGGTGATTTCCAACCTACTAAATACAACTTTATGAGAAGCACTTTATTTCATTGAGTAGAGAGACAAAAAAGAGAGTTTTTTCCTTGCATCATTTTGGCACCCAAGCGCTTCAGTAATTGATGGTGAGGCCTCTTTTGTGCTCCTCGTATGCATGAATCCCAGGCCATCGCTGAGGCAGGGGGGCATGTGTTCATTAATTGGGAGCTTTGAGATTCTTCTGAGTGAGCTGACAAAGCTGTTCTTTGTGTGTCCAAATGGGACGGCAGGTTTGCTTCACTTGTGAGTCCGCCGCGTTCTGCTGGGAACTTCTGCTGCTCTGGGAGCGGGTTAAGATTAAAAAGAGCAATTCGACAATAGTGAGGACACCTTATGACTTGCCCTGCACACACAAAAACCTCTTAATCTTTTTTTCAATCCTCCGAATGATCAGAATGCTGTTTCCTAACCAGATTGGGTCAAAATGATGCCCATTTATTATTCCAATAATATAATAATGTAATATTCCATTAAACCTTGAGCTGATCTTAAACCTAGTAACCTTAACTCAAGCATCGGCATAATTCTGGAACCAGAATTTCTGAATCTTGGTGCTGCTGTTGTTGGAATACTCCATCCCCACAAAAACAAAAATAAACACCTGCACATTCATCAATATAGAAAAGTTGTTCCGTGTGAGACTGGAATCCATGCACATCCAGATGGACTGTCTTTCCCTCTCTCTCTCTCTCTCTCATAAACACATTTACTGTGGGTTAATTGGTGCCTTGCTTAGATGGACTGGAGCCCCACTGACACAGGACTATCATTGTGTGGGTGCATCAGAAATATGCAGTGCTGTGTACACTGTGGGGTTGTGAGTTATTAGTATCCAGTGAGAGAATTCAATTCAATTCAGTTTTATTTACATAGCACCAAATCACAACAACAGTCACCTCAAGGCACTTTATATTGTAAGGTAAAGACCCTACAAACCCAACAATCCAATAATCCCCTTTGAGCAAGCACTTGGTGACAGTGGGAAAGAAAAACTTCCTTTTAACAGGATAAAACCTCCGCCAGAACCAGGCACAGGGACGAGCAGCCATCTACCATGACTGACTGGTGGTGATGGGAGTAAAACGGGAAAGACGCGCCGTGAAAGAGAGATGGGGATTAATAATAACTAATGAGAATGCAGCTGATCTGTTGGTTGTGGTTCTCCAGGTTACGTACGCTTCAGGAAGGAGTATCCTGAGCTTTTTGAGAACCTGACCCCCGAGGCAGTCCGCAGCACAGTCGAAGCGGGATACCCAGTGGTTCTGCCCAGCAGAGACAAGTATGGCCGCGTGGTCCTGCTCTTTAACATCGACAACTGGGACCTGGAGGAGATCACCTTCGATGAGGTACCCGAAAAGCAGCCCTGCACAGCTGCAGCTCAGTCATCCAAGTGTACTCTGTGAAATATATGTCCTTTTGCGTGTAATAGGTGTTGAGGGCATACTGCGTGATCCTAGAGAAGCTGCTCGAGAATGACGAGACCCAGATCAATGGATTTGTGCTGATTGAGAACTTCAAAGGCTTCACAATGCAGCATGCCTCAGGAATCAAGCCAGCTGAGCTCAAGAAGATGGTGGACATGCTGCAGGTTAGGGCTGAGCGAAATGGCCTAAAATCCATATCACAGTATAACATCACTGCCTCTTGGTGTTCTTTTACGTTCTTTTAATGTAGCTTTTCATTGTTACGCTGATGACCTGCAGCTTTATGTTCCTCTAACCATTGGAAATTGTGCTGAAGTCTCTAAACTAGAATCTTGTGTATCTGCAATTAGGGGCTCGTTATCGGATAATTTCTTGCTCCTAAATACTGATAAGACAGAGTTTACATGAGACTCGAAGGAGAGCACCATGTTGAACCACATGCCCAAGTTTTTTACAGCAGAGGTTCTTGTCCATGCATTTGTGTCTTCACGTATTGATTATTGTAACGGGCTTCCAAAGAAAAGTTTCAGAGGTCTACAGATGGTGCAAAATGCAGCTGCTCGTATTTTAACAAGAACTGGGAAATTTGAGCACATTACCCCTGTACTGAGAGCTCTTCACTGGCTACCTTGTCAGGTTCGAGCAGATTTTAAGATCCTGCTGCCCACCTACAAGGCTTTAAATGGATTGGCACCTTCATACCTCTCTGACCTTTTACACCTTGATGTTCGATCCCGTGCTCTACGATCTCAGGCCTTCTAAAGGTTCCTAGAGCCAGAAAAAAGACAGTTGGAGAGCGTGCTTTTTCTTTTCGTGCCCCATTCTTGTGGAACAACCTCCCTCAAGATATTAGCCAGGCACGCTCTGTGGAGGTTTTTAAAACTAAGTTGAAGACACATTTGTTCACCCTATCTTACATGTCTTAATTCTATGTCTTTTAGTTTTTAAATTCTTACTATTTTTAACTTGTATTGTGTTTTTACTTATACTGCTATTTATTGCTTTTATTTATTCATCTTTTTAGTTTCAAATAGCTGTACAGCACTTTGTTTGAAAGCGCTTTATAAATAAAGTTATTATTATTATTATTAATTTGAAGCATGTGCCGTAACGATATATATCGCGATATATTCTCTTCTTCTGTATACCGTATTTTCCGCACTATAAGGCACATTTAAAATCCTTTCATTTTCTCAAAAATCGACAGTGTGCCTTATAATCCGGAATAATCCCCAGAATAATCTGGGTCCAAAACACCATCTGTTTCAGGTCCCAAAGTCAAAGGAACACAGCGGCATCACTGAGTTAAAAACTGTCTAAATTCTTTCATCTTTAATAAAATGATCAGTGTTGCTGCTTTACCAGGTGTAACAATTAAGTTTAACATCCAGGCATCTATGAAAACAGAATTTATTAAATTTAACAGAGTTAGACGTTAGCAGGAAGTCAGCTCGCTAGTTTCCACCTAAACATGATATTTTGACTGAGAGATTTCTAAAAGACTTAAAACGTACAGCTCTGCTATCACTTCCAACATAAATGAAGACAGAAAACGAAACAGCAGTGACTTTTTTAGGGTTGCTGAAGTTGGACTAGCTGGCATATAATGATGTGTTATGTGATCGCTAGCAACACAGCTATGTTAGCATAAACACAGTGAAGCTGGAGGATGAATGCTATCTTTTTTCCACTCAATAAAAGTTAATGCGAGGGTTCCCGATGACTAGGGACAAATGCAATCGCATGACAGGATGCTGTAAACGGACCAAACTTCAGTCAGGAGAACAACTGAAATAATCAGATGGGAATAGAGCAGCTGCAAGAGAATTCAGCATTAATAAATCAATGGTATGGAAGTGGAGGAAGCGTAGCTTTTGGCTTATTACTGTCGCCCGGCATAATTTGCAGATGATATTGCTTGCAGCCGCTGCAATGCTTTCAATCAAAACAGGCGCAGCTTGATGACTCCGTCAACATGCGCTATCATGGTAGAGCGCCTAGTCAAAATCTCTAACATTGACCAAATTCATATAATTTCTACTGTATACCGTTTATATCGCCCACCCCAACTGCAGGCCCAAACAGACTCAGAATGAAAGCTGATGTGGAGCCTCAAACTAGTTTTTGGCTCTTTTGTGTTTTTCTGCAGGACTCGTTCCCAGCCCGTTTCAAGGCAGTTCACGTTATTCACCAGCCTTGGTACTTCACCACTACCTACAACGTGGTTAAACCCTTCATGAAGAGCAAGCTGCTGGAGAGGGTAAAGATAAGGGACACAACTGACAGCAGCTATATTTTTTTGGTTTTAAATCTAAGCTACATCTTTAAATGCTGATTCTAACTTCCCTCAGGTCTTTGTTCATGGTGATGAATTGGACAACTACCTCAAAGAATTCGATGCAGACATCCTGCCTTCAGACTTCGGTGGAAAAGCACCGGTGGCCGACTACCAGCCCATCGCCACAAAGCTTTTTGGCTCTGAAGACACCGCTCTCTGAAGAAACAATCCTCCCATTTCAAACCCAAGAGTAGAGCCTTTTACCTGAAGTGCTTTTTGTGTGATCAGATCAGATATGTGGTCTGTATTAAGGCTAGATTTTTACTTTTTTAAAAAAAAAAAAAAATTCAGGCAGTACATAGACGTATGTAGGGTTAGAAGCAGGGGATGTTTTGTGTTATATAAATGGAAAAGGTAAAGGATGTTGTTTAGATATATGAAGGAGAGAATAACTGATAGTAATCACTTGTTACTTTACATTGACATGTACTGACAATCCTCTCATGTATGACATGTATGAGTGGAGGAAGAATGACAGAGCTGGTCAAGACCAGGCTGATTTGTGTTTGGTGTGCTTTGCCTCATAGATCAATCTGCTGTACACAGAACAACCTTTTGCTTACGACCCCGTGATACAGATTTCAACATAGCAAAGTCTCGAGGGGTGAATTTGAGATTGATATCCAGAGGGAAAACTAATAAGGCATGTTTTAGAATAAAGGGCCTCCTGATGCAGTGCCTTAAATAGGAACAGTTGCTTGCCTCAGTGGCCTTGTTTCAACATATCATGTGAGGCGTGATGTACCAAGAAGATGCATTCTGGAGGTTGCACTGGATTGAAAAATGTCAAATAAAATCTTTTTTGTGCATCTTTTTTTTTAAAATTAATGACCATTTTTATCATTTGTTCTATATTTTAACCAGCTAAACCCACTCTAGGGTTAAATGGTTATACCAGGGTTAATTAATGAGTAAATAATGGAGTTTTAAATTAGAGACTGAATGATGTGCGATTTTTTTTAAGGCCGATATCCAGTCCTTATATTTGGTGATTTTAAAATCTGTTATTCTGATGTAGTGGCTGATATATTTTTTTCTTTCAGACACATGAACCATAAACAGATTTCCCACACGTTTGTTGTATTGTTTTTTGTTTGTTTAATGCTCTGCCCAGGGCTGGACTGGGACAAAAAATCGGCCCGGGCCCCGACTAGAGACCGGCCCACCAGGAATTATAGGAAAAGCCATAAAGCCTTTGAATGAAAACAAATGCTGTTGTGATGGTGATGTACACTGTTATGTTGGTATATATGTATGATTACATTTTACATCAGATGACCACTTTGGTTGTAAGATTCAGATAATTATTTATCAAAAGCTAGACATTTTAAATGAGAATAAGAAAGAAAAGTATTTCTTTGTTTGTGCCCCCTTTCCCTGTTAATGCCCTACCTGGCCCCCTGGCAAAACTTTGCTAGACCCGCCCCTGCACAGATGTCAGCTATGTAAAAAATTATCCTGGTGTTATTTGTCTCTCAGAAACAGTTCATAACTTCTCTTTAACTCATTCATGTCACCTAAAAGGTAAACCTGTTTCTCCATCACCTGTTCAGCTCTGATGTTTCAGTAAGGACATCTCCTGGTTACATCTTCATGTTTCCCTCTCACCAGACATCCAAACCGATATCATTATGAGCAGCTTGTATGTCTGTGGCTCCAGCAAACATCACCTGATACTAGAAAGTGATATTAAATAAATTCTAACAACAGCTTAAACATGCAGTTTTCCTCTTTCTGGTGCAAAGTGGGCGATAAACAAACAAGAGAGACAGGACTTGCGACAGAAAAGTCATTGATCAGTTTCGTGATTCGAGCAGCAAGAGAGGGAGGGGGAGAGAGTGAGAGAAGAAGAGGCAGCTGTGCAGCGTAGCTGGATGGCCAGTCCAGCTATCAAGTCAAGTCAAGTTTATTTATATAGCGCATTTAAAAGACATCAAGTGTCGGCCAAAGTGCTGAACAGAGAGATAATAAAATCAAATAAAAAAGAATTAAAATAGATAAGAAACATTGTAAAAACACTGTCAGACATCCGTATATATAGACACACAAAGCAGACTCTTATATACACCTGTTTGTAGAAATATAGATGTACATGCACATATGCAGATACATATACGAAAGTGTACACATTCACACACAAGCACACATACGTGTACATAAAATAGGTGTATACATATATACATGCATACATCATCCAATGAGATAAAAGACCAGAATAACTAAAGCAGAATAAAAGTGGTGTCAAAGAGATGCGAAAGCCTTTGGAAATCGGTAGGTCTTCAAATTTGATTTGATGACTTCCAAAGAGGAAGAGGAGTTTATGAAAGAGGGAAGACTGTTCCAGAGTCTTGAAGTGGCAATGGAGAAAGCCCTGTCACCTCTAGATTATAACTGGGAGCGTGGAACCAATAAAAGCATCTGACTGGAGGAACGCAGAGTTTGAGTGGGTAGGTGCAGGCTAAGGAGATTGTATCTGGAGCCAAGCCATGGAGGGCTTTAAAAACAAATAATAAATCCATGAGTCAACTCCATATTTAACTCGCAGCCAATGTAAAGATGCGAGTATCGGAGTAATACTCTCTTTCTGGTACTGATGCATTTTGGTTGCAGGCGGAACAGGCTTGAGTGACAGATGTGTAAATCGAGAGAGTTACAGTAGTCAAGACGTGATGATATGAAGGCATGGATAACGATTTCCAGACCTTCAGATGAAAGATATTTTTGAGTTTGGAAATGCTCCCGAGTTGGAAAAAACTGCCACGAACAACTGAATTTATTTGTTTGTCCAGCTTAAGGGTAGAATTGAAAATGAAACCAAGCTTTTTTACATGGGGGTGTACATTAGGTGATAGTGGGCCCAAGTCATTTCTTATGAGACTAACAGAGTCTTGCGTACCGAAAATTATAATCTCAGTTTTGTCGTAGTTTATTGTCATAAGAAACTCTGACTGTTATGACCTTTCAAACTACAGACTGAGCTCTAAGCTTTCATTCGTGTCCAAGATCCCGGAGAGACTCTCCCAGCTCCAGGCGTACTTGGACACGAACAATATTGCTGAGAAATTTCAATCTGCTTTTAAGCCATTGCTGGATAGCTCGCTCAAACTCAATAAGCAAGTGTCTGCTGTAGTGAGATCTAGCTTCCACCAACTGCGCCTTATCTCTAAGGCTAGGCATTATGTTCCACATGAGGACCTGGAGAAGCTTATTCACGCTTTTGTGACCTCCAGGTTGGATTTTTGTAATTAACTGTACTACAGTCTAAGCAGCTAGATCATCAGTGGGTAGCCACGTTTCAGTCATAAAAAGAAAGTCCAAGCCATGAGAGACAAACAGGTCATCATGGTATATGAAGGTCTTAGCTGTGGCTCTGCCCAGGCCTCTGTTGCCAATAAGGAAGTTAAAGACCACCCTCTGATGGACAAACTATGCAAGCTCAATACTCATGGTAGATGTTTCTCGCTTATATTTTCTATGCATTGGTTATTATAAACGCTAGTATCAATACATCTGCAAGTAGCTAATATCAGCAAGCTGTAGCTTAAATGAATCAGTGACCAATGTTACCTCATACAGATTTCTAGGTCAAGCTGCTTTTTTAGGCCTGGCAAAACTCCAGAGTTGTCCTATCTTTCTGAGTTTTGAATTTTGTCAGAACCTTTCACACGACTTGATCATAATGTGTACCTAAAATCTGGACTGCAAGCTATTAAATTGCACTGCATTTAAAATACAGATGCCCTTACAGCATGCAGCATTCCCACCAACTGTTCTGTCCTTAAACACACCACATATTTGCTAATTGACAGCATAGATGGTGAAAAAACAAAACAAGGTTTGATTTAATTGTGTTTTGATTACTTTTCCTGTGGTGTAGTACACATGATAACTGGGGAGGTAGAAAAGCTATAAAGATAAAAGGAGTCAATACATGAAGGCTCAATTCAGCACAATCTGTGATATACAAATTATTGTTAAATATTAAAGCGTGTTCTACAATATATTTACAAAGCTCTAATTGGAGGAGAAAAAAGAAACCATTTTTCTTTTGAGAAAATAATTTATTTTGGAACACAATAAGCACGTCTCCTCACATAATTAGTTCACACGCACACCACTGGTATTTCTTCAACAAACACACCCAGGGTTCAGTATCAGAGTACATTATGTTGTGTGACTGCATCCCCCCCTCTAGTTGTCCCAACACACCCTTTAGCCTTCATTCAGCAAAACTGTAAACACAAAATTAAAGCTGTATAATGATAATTGTAGGTTAACACACAGTGGGCTCCCATCCACTTGCCTGGTACTGACAGTTATGGATTCTACATTTAAAAAAATCTTTCTAGAAAAAAAACAAAACAATAATATTAAGCAAATTTTACTCCAATCCAAGTTTTTCTTCCCAAATTTTTTGGACATTTTAAATTTACTCAAGATATCTGAGTCATTTAGTTTCCAAGCAATTAAATATGAGCCCATAAACTTGATGTTTGAAGCAGTGAGTTTAGGATAAATACAGAGGAACACAATTTTTTTTATCAGTACAGTAAAGTAACATTTCAGATCCCAGATCCATGAGAAATTATTACAATGAGTATGACATGTTTTGGTCTAATATACTTTGACACCATTTATTGTCACATTAGTGTTTAAATAATAAGAGAATCCCTTCTGTTTGGTTATTGCCTTTATTTTTCCATCCCTGGTCCCTCAAATCTAATATACACCATCTTTACATAGATGTTTTATTTTTGTTGTTAAAGTGAACAATATTGGATTTTTGGGGATCAGAGGTGGTGATATGACACAGTATACACCTGCTGTATGTTTACCTATCAACACTCACACTCTACTGCATTTACACAAGCAGATAACACAAGAAGTCATAAGAACAATACAAAAATAAAATTAAAAAATACCCCCAAAATAATTGACTAGAAAAAAAAAATCCAAATAATACATCCAAACTTGCATTTTTGTGCAAAGTTGTGGAGAGGCAAAAACATTTTTCTAAAAAAACAAAAAACAACAACAACAAAAATAACAACAACAGCAACAACCCAAAACACATGGCTCGTACTGCAGAAACTGGGTTTTTGCTGGTGTCATCGAAATAGAGCCCGAATAAACCCAAAGGTGTAATTTTAAATGAGAGCTGTGGACTACAGATGAACCATTTACTATAATCTGACTGTGGGTGGATGAGAGGATGTTTGCCACGAAGACTGGCAGTTGTAGTTCGGTTTCCCTGACAACAGATGGCAACAGTGATTTGTTGTTTGAGCAAATGCTGGTTGACAACCGCTAGACGTGAAAAGAAAGAGGGTGTTGGCAGGCCGACTGAAACACCAAACACAATTATGTCACCAATCACATCAAGTGCAGCCTCATTTCCAATACTGTTATAAAACTGAGGGTTTCCACTCAGAAGACAGGCTGATGACCACCTGCCACAGCGTGTCTCATTTCATCTTACAGTACATTAAAAACGACTCCAATGAGACGAAAAACAAAGAAAAAAGGGTTCACTGGTGTCAGACTGGTGCTTGGTGTTGACAGATGCCCTGAGTTAAAGGAGATGAAGTTGGATAAGAGTTCCCTTTTATCCCCACATTAGCCAAGCCAGCATTGGTGAGATTAATACCTGGATGTCATAGTATTTGCTCAGAAAGGTTTAAGGCAGTTATACCTCAGAAAATAACTGATAATAAAATTTCCAAAGAGCAAAAAGAGCAACAGATCAGATTCACAATTACAGCACTTTAAATACTACTACTGGTAACCAAGCAACTATTTCTAAAGCTAAGAACAAACTTTGGAACGCCATATATAAGCTTTAATATTCAATTCTTATTATCTGATATTTATTATTACTTTACAAGCTTCGATTGATTGACATTCAGTGCTGTTATATCCTGATATGGCAAACCTTCCAGTACTCAAACACTTCTACTTATCAAATACTATCAACCAGGTATTACAACACACAAACCACGGCCTAGGAAGCCTCATAAAATGCCCTGCTGTCAGTCACTTAATCATTTCAAACCACCCTTAGCGTCTCATCACAGTGTTCAGAAGCAGGTTTTAGATCACACATTTCTTGGCTTTATATTACCTTGGAAGAAGCTTCCTTAGAGCCCTTACAACAAGGTTTGAATTTAAATCGGGTTTTGAAAAGTCCAAAGGTCCCAGTCTTGCAGTATGATTTCAACAAGAGATGTTTGCGATCTTTTTTTCAGCAGTTTGTGCAGCAACACCCTTTATTCTCAGTGCAGTCAACAAAACAAGAACTGAGATTTTCGGCAAAGTCTTTGAAATAAAAAAAATATTCCCTACGGTTAAAATCCATCTTCTTTCTTGCATGCAGCATTCTCCATCTAAATTACAGTTAAACAAACACCAGAATCATACGAACAAGCCACTAAAATAAATAGCGGTTGAGCTTTGGTATCTTCAGCCCTCCTACTCGTCAAACCTCACAGCTCAGATTATTACAAATGAAAAATTTGCTTCACATCTGCTGAACTTTCCCTTTTGTAGCACCACGCTCGCCAATCAGAAGGCTAAATTTTCAACATTTCAAAGAACCACATGATCATCTGCTGGAAAATGGAAAAGCTGTACTAAGATGTTCGCACCAAACCAGGTGGGTTGAATGTTAGCCTCAGCGCAGTGGCAGTAGGACTGTTGTGTGTGCAGTAAGAGACAAATATCAGAGACTTGGCTGGACCTGCAGCTGATCAAAGGCAACAGAAAGAGTAAGGAGGGCTCAAAGACACTGACAGACAGACAACGCGGGGAACATTTGATTCATCTAACGTTTCGTTATCATCCTCGCCCCTCCGTTAATAGTTTCCATATCTGCACTTTGACAAATAAAATGAGGAAAGGGGGAAAATATTGTGGTGTACAGTATGTAAAGTGCTGGAATCAAAGTGACAGAATGCAACTGTGGGAATGTACATGGATCCCATCTGAGGGTGGGGCTCGATCCCTGGTCACGTCTGGTAAGCACCAAAAACTTTGAGTGCCAAAACTATGTGCAGGATGATGTTACGAGCTGGAAACAATGTGTACAATCCTACCTTAATACTTAATAATCTACAGTACATTTACTACAAACAGCAACGCACCCAGAGGAGCAGACATAATGGCCAAGGGCTAAGAACAGAGAATTTAAATCAGACCAACCTCACAAAGACCACCATCCTGGGTCTTTCCCTACACAGTCTCACACAGACATACTCATGCACGCACGCACGCACGCACGCACACACAAAACGGTAAGGTTTGTTAAGACAGCAGACTAGGCTATATGGCCTTGGCGGTGATAAGCAGTGAGCTTCTTACAGTTCTTCTTCGATGTAATACGAGGCTTCTTGTGTGCTCTTGTTTCTCACTCGACTACTCTAAAGTGGTGCTCTTGCTTTCCTTTAAAATGACAGCTTGACTTCATCGTCTGCCACTTTCGGCCAAAAAGAATCACTTAGCCAGGCGTCATTACTGTGTAGATGTAAAGAACCAAAATGTCCCTGCTCCGAGTCCTCGACATGGAAAAGAGCACGAAGGCAGTTAGTTCATTTTGTCACAAACTGTAAGGTGATTGTGATTACAAAGGAGGACCGGGAAAGGTGGGTTGGTACTGGTGAGTCGCACAGGAGGAGAAGGCAGAGAAGAGATATCAGTTTAGAGTGTCTCCTCAGTGCAGTGTGGGGATAGTGGTGTTGGAGAAAGTGAAAGGTTAATGAACAAATGAGAGAGACAGAGGTTTATGCTTTCTCCTTTAAGCAGGAGCCCTCACTCAGGTGGTCACTTTGGCATGGTGGCTTCTGTTTCTCCCACTGACAAATGGCATTGGCGTAACCCACGATCACTTTGTCCATCCAGGTGAGAGGCTGGGGGAAGAGGACTGCACCCTCAAAGAAGCCCAGGTGGCCTCCATGAAGTGTCAGGGCAAAGACCACATTCGGCTTCTTTGCTGGAAGAGGACAAATCACACGGTAATTAGCCCTCTGTACTCTGCACAGTTTGTAATCGTCAGCATCGGAAGAACAATGTTCAACACATGCCCAGAAATGGGCTTGCAAGGGATTGTTAAGGGTGTGTTTGCACAGTCGAGCAGATAACAGTGCGATTACGTTTCTGGCCATTAGACACGATCAATATGTTACTCAGTTTGTTTGTCTGACAGCTGGCAGAAAAAAAAAAAAAACAACTTTGCTCCTTCAACCTGGAGGCAATTTTTTAATGACTTTAACAGTTGAAACAGGTTTGCCTCGACTGACAGGTCTCACAGATTGTTACACCGTCTTTTCATTGCTTGTTGTGTAATTGCTTAAATGGTCATCCAGAATGGAAAAATCTATTTTCATAGTATAAGACTCATCATTTTCCATACCTCTCTCTTAATAAAGACTGCCATGTTGACAATCTTCCAAGATCCTCACGATTACATTTGTGTCCACATACTTATGGTAAAATAATGCAACCATTAATAATTGACGAGATAGGACTCCAGGCCAAACTTTAACATTTTCCCTTAGGAGATGTGACGACCTGTTTTCTATACTCTGTCCATACAGAAAACAGTAGTTTTCACACTGACTTTACGTCATTCACAATACACGCAATATACGAACCCTGAATATCTCTGCATCTGCGCTGCCTAATAAAATATGAAGGACTGCAAATTTCCTTTGCTGTTTTTTTTTTTTTTTTTTTGGTTGGTTATTCTGCAGTTAAAAAATAAATAAATAAATAAATAAAAAATAATAAATATATATATATATTTTTTTATTTTTTTATTTTTTTTAAATGTGTAATTAAAATAATAATAATAATAACAATAATGATGATAAATAAAGTCTGAAATGTAAACTAGGTCATCTCCACACACTCACTCTGCTTGCAGCATAGTGCTGCTGCAGTGAACAACTATGGTGGGGTTTCATGAAAAGGACTGGCCTGGATCTCTTTGGTCTCCTGGACTTAACTGGGTTAGTGGGGAAGCCTGCTGTAGCAGACTAGTGACTAAGATCCCACTGGGCTTTGAACACTGTGCACTATTCATGACAGCTGCTGAGTTGCCCTTGGACAACTGCGTGCTCACCCAGGACCGAGAACTGCCGCCTCACTACGAGCTGAGCGACAGGGGCCCGGAGACAAGCTTGTGGTTTAAAGATTTTTCTTAGTCCCTAAATGCATCATTTACCAAGTAATTACTGAAACACAGTTGCATCAGTTTCATGATCTTATTTTGATTAATTATATTATTCAAATATCATTGCAATAAAGAAGCACCAACTATTCTTTGTGTTCTTTAATTCACCTGTAACATTTTTGCTTGAACAGGAACAGTCTTACTTAACAGTCTGCTGAAAGCTCTTATCAAACACTTCTAGTCCGAGCTAATTCCAGCACCAGCACAGCAAGTGTATTTCTGTCAGTCTTTTGATGGTAGTCAAGCGTCTGAGCAACTGTTTCACATTTTAGGTCATAGGGACAGCTAATCCACTTTTCTGTAAGTGTTGCTCTCTGGAGACATATAGGATACAGTACCATTTGCTTCCAGTAAGGACTTCTCCTACTCTCCCTCTTACACGCACGCACACACAAGCAATATTCCTTTTCCAGTAGAGTTAAAAGTGGTCAGTGAGTAAAAATAGCACAAAGTGAGAAGAATGGATGCTTGATAGACATTAAGTCATGTGTAGCCAGATTTGCCTGCTTATGTTTATTTATTATCAATCACCCTGCACCATATACGGGAGGACAGAAGGTTTTTTGGGGGGGCAGGAGACCAGTGAACCACTTTATCCAACTGGAGGAACACTGTGTTATATTTATGCGTTACAGCCGTTGCCACACAGCAGAAAACATTAGTCACAAACTGTGTGCCCCACCCTGTCCCGGTTGGGGTTGGATGCCAGCTCATCATAGGCCTGCTTAAGGCTGCAGACATGTTTTTGTTTGTTTGTTTTTTTAAAACTACTGAGATTCAACTGAGGCCAGTCTTTAAGACATTAACAGCTTTTTGCATCAACCTGAAGGAGAATTGTTTTCCAGCATTTTTAGAACTGTGGAAAATATAGGTGTTACTAATAATCTACAGTGAGTTATTTAAAGTTACATAATACTACAGTGGAAGCAATATTCAAAGAAATTGAACCCACCCTTTTCTTTATTTTTTAATTTCTTTTTATTTTGAGCAGGAAGGTCCAGGTGGGGTTTTTTTGTTTGTTTTTTATTCAACACGTAATTTTACAGCAGGATTCTTATTTAAGGTCAGGAGCTTGATTTTTTTGATGCTACTGCAGCCACGCTATGACAGCAAGTTGATCCTGATCTGCACGGACCATTTAACTGCAACTCTGCCATCTAGTTGATAAGGTGATAAAAAAATATTTTAGTGCAGCTGCTGTTGCTATGCAACATGTTGGCAATTACCTGCTAGCGTGCGAGGGATGGTGAGCAATGAGTCATGAACCAGAGGATCATCCGCAGAGTTCACTAACAGCAGTGGCACATTGACCTGGAAATTTAAGAACAAAATGCCATCCATCAAAAAAAATACACAAACAGACCAAAAAAGAGAAAGATGGCATTTGTGAGTCGTATGCAAAAGCAGTTCTTACATTGTGAATATAATGTACACAACTCTCTTTCTCATAGTACTCTTTGAGAGACCGGTGGCCGTGGAATTTTCTGTTGAAACCCAAAAAGATCAGGTATTATTATTATTCAGTCCCTAACCCTTAGAGGGGTTTGATAGAAATGACAAGAATATCTGATATTTTTCAGATTCTAAGCACTGACAAAAAGTATCACCAGGAGCATCAAGAACATGGAAGAGCTGCAGTTTACTAGAACACACCTCATGATGTTGTCGTCAATCTGCATGAGAGATGTTGCTGTGTACAACCGACTTAGATCAGCATCAATCATTTTGAGCGAATGTCCTCCAAACAGACTGTGCCTGTAACATACAAACATTAACATGAACACAAGTAATTTTAAAAATCAATTAGTTCACAGTCATAACTGTCAGCTATGTACCAACTATTCCCTCTATTACACAGAGTGACAACGAAGACCAAGAATGGTAAGAACTATTCATTTATTTGCAGATTAGCATTTAGAAAGTTACTTTAGATGTTCTTTTTAGTAGGCTAGTGGCTCATTTAGTGGCTTTTTAAATTTTATTTTACATTTTTACTTAGTTTTGAGTAGTTTATAGTTGGCTTTATTTATTTTATGGGCACCTTAGCATGTTATAGGTAGGTAGGGCAAGAGCAAGAGAGGCAAGAGGAAGGTACCATTTCAGGCAGTTCAACCTACTCAGATCTGTGAAAATGATCATTGCTCAAATGAACCCACCATGGCTGTGGGTAATCTACAATTTCATTTATAGGGAAATTAGGAGGTTAGATTACTGACTGGGTTGTCTGATGAAATCACTGTCTTTGGCAAACACCATAAAATTTTCTCCCCAAACACTAAACATGTCAATTAAACTTTTCAGTGATTGGAAACAGAAGGCACACAATGTACTAAAATTTATAGCTGGGCAACAGTGGTACCTGTGTGAGAGAATGATTTTCTTCATGTTGTCGGCCATGAGAAAGTTATAAAAGCGCCTGAACTGATCCCACTGCAGGAATGTTTCCTGGGCCCTGAGAGAGAGAGGGGAAGGCAAACACACAGGAAGTTAGCTTTGTACAGACTGTCTGCAATCTAAACAATACATTGAATGTCCTGTGTCTACTAATCCACTAACACAAAGAGTCACACTGGTTGAGAGTAGCAATGGTGTCAGGCATCAATATGCAGCTCACTGACAGTGACAAGGTGACTCAAAACAAGAGCTCAAGAAAAACAGGTTCAGCAGCTAACTGCTGATTACAAAAAACAAAAACGAAAAAGGTTTCTTTTTTTGTGGCTTTTTCATACAATAAGGCCATAATATTAAATGTGTGTTATTGTAAGAAGAACATACATCGATCAGCCGCAACATTAAACCAGTAGGCAATAGTGAAAAACATTGATCACTCATTCCACTGCAAGCCTTGGGTCCTGGTATTCATGCGGTTGACACTACAATATGTACTGTGCCACCCACCTAAACATTGTTGTAGCCCAAGCACAACCCACTCGAGGCTACGATACTCTTCGATGGTAGTGGCCTCCCCAGCAGGTTAATGCACCCCGCCATATCGCAAAAACTTCCCAGGAATTGCTCGAGGAACCCCGAAAAAACAGAGCCAGCCTCCAAATTCTCAATCCGATTGAGCATCAGTCTGATGCTAACAAACGAGCCCGATCCACAAAGGCCTACCCCGAACCCGCAAAGCCCAAAGGATCCAATGCCGGGTGCCAGACACCACAGGACACGCCAAGGGGTCCCATGTCCATGCCCCGACAGGTCAGAGCTGTTGGGCGGCACAAAGGGAACCTACAGAATATTAGGCAGGTGTTTTTAATGTTGTGGCTGATTACTGTACAGCTTCAGCTCTCGAGGTACACTGACAGGAGGGCCAGCTTAAATTTTGGAAACAGATTTTAAATTAAAATTTTTATTTTTATTTTTAAAAAGAAAAAAGAAAAACTGCAAAGCCAATTTGACAGACGGCCAGTCTCGACACACACCCATCCCCTGCTGTCCACACTGAAACTTTAATAGACCCGGCCTGTCAAGTCTGCCAAGAGATGCTGTCTGCATTTAAAAACACAGAATCTGACAAGAACACAGAGTGCAGACACCCGCATGCACTAAATAGACATATACATCATAATCTATTTGTAAATATTGTACTTTCAATACATTTATCTGGTTACTAGTTACTTTAAAAAGTAAGGTTTTATTGTTTTTTAAAATAAAACTATTAACTGATTGAAAGACAAATGACTAATTGACACTAGTCATTAGCTGGTAGGACTTCTACTCCTGTACTTCAGCAAAGAGCCATTGATAATGCCCAACATTATCAATGGTCCTGTAGACATTCAGAGTAAACTGTGGTAGGTGAATGAAGGGATCAGACAGGTCCTCAAACAGGTTTTTAAATGTGTCTCATTTCTTACATTTTGGGAGAAAAAAAATTTTTTTTTTAAGTGGCAACTTTACCAAATTGGTGCAATCCATCAATAATTATGGTAAAAGGAAGAGCAGAAAGGGTAACCAGCTGACTGGAGCCGCTTTGCAGACTCATGGATAAACATGTGATTATATTATGCAAGCGCTATTCATTTTGTAGAATTATTCTGAGCTTCATTTATATTTAGAAATGTGAGCACATCAGTGTTAGTATTACAAAGCCGGTTTGACAAAACAATGCATGTAATTAAGAAATGAGACCACAGCAACCCACCTCAGCGCGCTGTACCCCTGACAAACGCTGACGCAGCACAGCACTCGCTCCTGGTTAGCCTTGTTCTCCCCCAGGAACTTACAAACGATGTTTCCACCCAGACTGAAGCCCACAACAATGAGCTGGGTGTTAGGGTATGCCCGCTTAATGTAGCCAACCATGGATGCAAATTCCCATGTGCATCCTGTAAAATGAAACAGTATAGTGCTATAATCAAAACACAGAAACATACTTTATTCTACTCGGCACTTCTGGCTGAAGATTTCTTTAATTCAGGGTATCAGATTTGAGTGTCTAAGATCTTTTAAACAGCACAGGTCTCATCATGCCCATAAAAAAGCCTTACATTCTTCTTTTTCCATAATTTACCGTTTACCCTGAAATAATGCTGTACAAGCAGGGCAAAAAGGATAAGCTGTTCGTAAGTGCACACTTTCACCAGAAATGCTTTAAACTAATACCTTCACTGTGCTCACCCCTTTTAATGGATTTTGGAGAGGATAGGTTAAGCCTAAACCACAACAGACAATTGGATGAGAGCAGCAGGCTGAGCCAAAAGCGATGACACAGCATTACTGACAGGACTGAATTCTTTTTATCATTGCAAATAATGGTTTTCATTCTTAGATAGACCTCTGATGAAAAACTGACTGGTGTTTAACAGGGGTTCAGAAATTATTAGGGGTGGGGGGATGAGTCATCACTAGACTAGCTCTGCATGATTCACAGTCCTCTACTACGGCCTTTAGGCAGCCCATTTCATTTTTTCAAGCCCCTTTCCTCACTTTCTTCTCATTAGCTGCCCCTCACTGTCATCCACAAACAGATGCAGGCCTTATGAGCCTTGTTTGCTTACACCATATGTAATCAGTGCCAAACTGATACCACCTAAGCAGCAAGTAGAAAACTTTTGGTCCACAGACATAAATTGTATATAACATTTGAAACTGAACATTTACAATATAAACATTCAACAATGACAAAAATTATATGAAACACATTTTTTCAAAAGCCAAATAGGTACTATTTTGAGTTGGCTCACTGGTCTTACCATAAGTGAACATGCGTGGAGAGGTAAGCTCGATGTTGGGAAGAGCTCCGAGGTGATTCAGCACAGCACAACGATAACCATCCTTCTGTGCATAATCCACAAAGGTCCGGATGTAGTGCTTCTCACTATGGTTACCGATACCGGGGCATATCACCATGGTGATGTCATCTGGTTGAACAGGCAGATGGAGCAGGGCAATATTTGCAAGTGATAAAAATGTAAGCAAAGATAAAGAAAGGAGAGTGTTACTCTCCTAAACAGCAGATCATCATAACAAAAGGAGCAAGGCAAAGCCCGGCAGCCAATCCAAGATAAAGGATAAGGCTGTCAATTATAGCTTTTCCAAACACAGTGGAAATAGCAACACTACTTTTGTCGGGAGTAAAATGTCATGTGAGGCTCAAGCTTTTTGAGAGGACTAATAGATCCAAGTTAATTTGATTGGATAAGCTCAAGCCTTCAGAGAAACATATGCATCTTTTAAAGGGTCCCCCCACAACTGAATTACACACATCTTATGCGTGATTTAAAAGAACAATAATGCAGCAAAGTCTCTTTAGTAGCTGACTTGCAAGGCCTGGCACAAATAACCAAAGTTGGACATGACACCACTGACAACGAATTTCTTTATTCTCCAAACATCAAACTTGTTTTATTTAGCCATATGTTCTATATAAAAACTCCCAGGGGCCAAAGTTTCTTGTGATACCCTCTAACTATTCTTGACCCTCGAATCGAATAATGAAGAAATTTATCAGGAACAACAAAATGGGAGAAACCTCAAGAAGATCAGCAGAGAAGGGATCCCTCGTCCAGGACTGACAAACACTCATTAGGTGTGGCATGAACGGACTAGACAGAAGTAGCAGTAGTAGAATTACAATGTAAAGCAACAGAATTACAGTATGAAACTAAGAACTACAATATATTAGATTTTAATGTTTGTCATGACAGTAAAGATCCAACTACGCAATGTACAGGGGCAAGAAAAAGTGTTCACCCTTGTAAAGCATCACGTAAAAATTCACACAGTAGAGCTGGACAAAATATCAGAACCCAAGGTCGATTACTTCAACAAAACTTGCATTCAACAAATGAAACCTCACTGAAGATTTGAGTTAGCCCACACCTCCAATGCTGTGAAATGATCTTAGGAGAGCTGTCCACCCCTGGCATCCCAAGAATGGCTGAGCTCAGGCAGTGCTGTATATTGTGCTCATCCATAGCTGTGATGAATGTGCTTTCTCTTGCCCCTGTTCTATACAACTGCATAAAAATGTTGGTTAATAAGAAGTAGGGCTGCCACGATTTGTCGACTAGTCACGATTACGTCGACTATCAAAATCGTCGACGACTGATTTAATAGTCGACGTGTCGTTTGAAGCTTTGTAAGATCACAAAAGACGCAGGAATAATAGCAGGATTTAAGAGTGTAATAACAGACTGAAACAGAAGATGGCAGCACAGCATGTACAAGGATGCCAGCTGCCGTTAAACCCCAAAGAAGAAGAAGCAGCTGTGTCCCAGAATTCATAGCGCGGCCCAGCTTAGTTTCCAACAATGGCGGTAGCTAGTTAGTTTTAATATTACTCTTATTATTCTTTCTGGGTCACAAAATAAACGTTTAACATATTTTCAGGCGAGAATGTAGCTGTGTAAACCTCAAATATCGGCTCAGTTTATCAAGACACCACATATTTTCAAAAGCGCTCCGACGTTTTCGGAGACGTCTGTTACCCACTAGCTCGATAGCTAGCCGGGGGCTAGGTCACTAGCGCCGTGAGAACACCGGACTCCCGGCAAATTGTTTTCAAACCCACCGCAGTCTTTCGCGACTCAGGTTAAATATATATGAGTCACTTAGATAAATTAAAAATGTTGTTGTTTGGCTTTTTTTTTTTTTTTTTGTATTTTATTTGTTCCTGAGTAAATCGGTTTGTCTGAGATTAAAGTTATAGTTTTTACACAGCTGAATAAACGTCAAGCAGACAGCTGATTATCAGAAGTGTGAGATGCTGGAGAATATACTCCGGTGTCCTGTTATATTTTAGATAGCAAGGAGTTTATTAAACTTTACCGAAACAATCTGCAAATTTCATTAAAATTGAATAAACTATCATCTTGTCTTTATTTTTAGTTAGCACCTTAAAAGCTTAAAGCTGTAAGCTAATGATAGTTATATAAGAGCAGATGCTGCTGGTGCAATAAGCTGTAGTTTTACGTCCAGTGGATGATGATCTGATTAGTCGACTAATCGCATAAATAATCGGTGACTAGTCGACTATCAAAATAATCGTTTGTGGCAGCCCTAATAAGAAGCAGATCCTGATCAAATGCATCACCTCCTGTCCGATGATCCCCCAGCGGCTCGAAGAGGTCGAAGGTCGCAGTCGCCCCATCCTGCATGGGCAAATATTTTCTGATTCCACTAGGGTGAGGCGAGCTCACCCGACCAAGTTTACCATACAGTGCCGTCTGGAGGTGACCACTCTTACCCCACAGTAATGGAGGAATGTACCTGGAAAACACAAAATTGCATTCCTTTGTTAAATTTGGTCTCGAAATATGAGCCCTCAGCCTAATGGACAGTACAAGGGCAGGGCAAATGCTCAGACACAAGATCAACACAGTGTTATCTGAAGCACATGCCTTTTGCATTTCTGGTTTATGACAGAGTTTCAAGCACAGAGTTTGCACACAAAGTCACATCTCTTTTCAAGACATTTAAAGATTGCTACGTGGACCCAACAGACAGCAACGTTTCACTAGTGTGTAGCTATGTTTTGTAAAGTTATTCGCAGAACCAGCGCTTGTATTCCAGTGACACTTCTGTAGGAGTTAACTGTAGGAGTTGAGTCTTTAGCTTATGTAACATTCCTTTGAGACACCGGGCATTATCATGAATCACTATCACATTTCCACACCGAGAGCAAAATAGTGTGAACTAACACAGAGAAACGTCTTCAACTTGCCACTGCAACTATTTCATCACATATTATAGGTAAAATATTAGGTTTAAAATCACGACAGTGGCGACAGGAACAGATAAAACACCGTGCTTTTCATATAATGCTTCAGCCGTTTAAATGGGATTGGCTGACATAAAAGTATTATTCAATATGGAAGATTTTGAAGTGACTCAGGAAGATATTTAGGAACATTTGAGTTAAAGACAGGCTAGATCTCCAAACGCAGCGTTTCGACAGTGATAACTATATTGGTTGAGTGCTTGTTAATAACACTTTAGTGAGCATTCAAGGCACTCTCTCACTTCTTCAGCTATATAAAAGGCTGTGTGGAATAGTTTCGTGACAAAACTCGGTAGCGAGCTATATCGGATAAACAAGACCAGCATAACTCTGAAGCACAGCTGCAGTGTGGACACTAGCTGTGTGTACAGCACAGCCCAAAACACGACGACAGTCAGCGACTGCCGAGAGTCGAGGCTTCAGTTACATCAACAGTTGCACAAGCTCTTTAACCTTATGTTTCCTCAACTCTTACAGTGGCTCTAACAATTACTTAATTAACAAATACAGTCTTACATAAGAGAATTATCTACCACAAAACCGACTATTGCCATTTAGTGATAATGTGATCGCCTCCAGGGTGCACTGTAGTTAAAGTTTTACCACATGGTTCTAGAAGGTACTCTGCTGGCTTAATCCATGGCTACAGGAAGAGGATGACCTCACTGTTATAATGTGGACAGGAAGCGCGACACCAGAGTAGCTGAGTTCATCAAGACAATAAAAAATAAAAATAATGCTGTTATCAGTTTTCCTTTGCTTTTAACTGATAAAGTTTGAGAAATCCTTTTTAATAATTCTATATCAAATGTAACAGGCTCCAATCTCTCTTTGAATTGGGATAACTAGTGTAACCTTCTTGGGGTATGTACAGTGACTGTGCTATTGTCCTTTGTAGCTATTAGATAACAGAAAAAAGGAACTGGATGTGTCTGTGTGGCTTGATAAAACAAAGACCCGAAGTCCTGGTCAAAGTCCAAAATGACTCATGTCATTTATGGTAATTGTATTAATCTGCATGCTATCAGTCTTTACGTTCATTGGGCTTTTTTTTCTTTTCTATACACCACATACTGTCAGATGCTAGCGACACACACACATTCACACACACGTATAATACTGGCCAATAGGAAAACAAGCTCTACAATGTTTTGCAATATCCTGGACAATCACCTGAAGCAAATCAGACTGCGACTTCTGCCAAATAATGAAATAATAAATAGCACGCTCTGTCATTTTGCATGTTATCCTAAACCCTATTCAACTGTCTCCAAACACAGCCAAACAAAAAGGCTGTTCACCTCACATCACCCCTCTTATACTTTCCACTGTGCGATCGATTTATTATGCAACAACACAGGATGTCACGAGTTACAAACGTGACTTCACAAAAATGAAGATAAAAACATCTCTGCTAAACTACACACTGGGACAGACATCTTCCTATTCTAAGCATAGAGCATACGGCTGTTCAGGAGGGAATAATAACAAACTAGACACAGATGTAAGCATCAGTGCGGCCTTATGATTCAATGACCCTGCAGCTGAAAGGCAAAGGGCTCAGTAACCATCCGTTATGTAAGCTGACACTCGAGGGTGCTTCGAGAGATTCGCCCTACAAAGCTGAAAGTTCCTGTCGAGTGTCAAAGCAAGAGGTGGAGAGATGCTCACTAAGGAAACACAACTGAGTATACAATTCCCACTCAAGGGAGTGTGTTTCCAGCAAAATTACAGGAAGTTTGAGGCATAACCTGGTTTAAAGCTCACAGCAAAGCCTTGTTCTGTTATGGTCCAAGAACGACTGCTTTGCGTCAGTTATTATGAGCTCAGATGAAACATTCAAATTATAGCGGTCATCATAGTTACCCTGAATGTGAGACCAGCATCATCATGAATGCAAATCCTCTTACCCTGCAGTGAATGAGCCTTTATTTATAATGCAAGTGCAACAAACTCCGTGCACCTTTGAGATAACCCCAAAAATACAGACTCATGTTTAATTCATGCAAGAGCCAACAGGAAGGCTGTGGTACAGACGTGTGGCACACTTAGGAGCACTGACGATAGCTGGGACCGCCGCCAGACAAACCGCTACCTTCACTGCTGCTGCACCGTTGCCGTGGCAACCTCCAAAGAGACATGCACAGAGAGAAAGGAAAGCAACTCACTCTTTGGTCAACTGAGAGCAGGACTTGAGGAGGAAGCGGTTGACAGCAGTGTCCTGGTAGATGAGGTCCGGGGGTGCTGTGGGGCTCTTGAGGTTCAAGCAGCGGACAATGATGTAAAGCACCGTGGCCACCGCCGCCAGCTTCATGCCATCAAACATTGCTGGCATCTCGGGAGAGATGGTGTGCACGTCAGATTCGTGGGCGCTCATGATTATTCTAGAAAACAAAAGCAGCCAATAAATGCAGAACTCCATTTTTAAACTGAATTTTAATATAAAAAGACATCGCTTGTACAAGTCAATGTTTTTTTCCCCCAGTTCTAGGGATTAACAATGGACTTTAAAGAAATAAATTAATTAAATATTCCCGAGGTGTCCTGCAGCAACACATCTGTGGGAATATAAACTCAAAGGAACTCAGATAAAGCAGAGTCAGATAAGACAAACCTGGTTATTTAATACACTCCCTGTAATTACATTACAGCTTAAACTGTGCCAATAGGAAGCCTTGCTGCATAGAAGATAGAGGTGCTGACAATGCTTTAAATAAATCATTACATATAGCAGACACGGTGAATCCTGACTAGCATTTCTCCCAATGTAATGTGCCAGCACAAATTTACATTTTAGCAGATTTATTAAATGTATTAATGTTCACAGCTAATAAAGTCTCCACAGGTGTGAAATTATAGGTAAACAAACAGAAACTATAAAGGGCACAGAAGAGGCTCAATGCCTTCTATTGCAAAGAAAAAAGGAAGTTCTGATCACTGATGTGCAACGCAAATGTTTGTGTGATGTTACCAGGCAGCCACATCAAACTGACATAAACAGAAACAGTCATAACTGAAAGCTAAAATAAACTAATATACTTACATTTTATGTTCAAGTTTGCCTCCAAAGAAAATTCGTTTCAAAAGGTCCAAAGAAATGTGAAGTCACAGTGATGTGGTCCTGAAAAGCACATAAAGCAAAACACACACAAAGACCTTCACTGTACAGTATCAGAAAGTTATCTTTTTTCCTTAAACAGAAGTTTCATCTAAAATTAAGTAAGAATAATGACACCACTTAATTTGCATGGTAAGTAACTGCTGAACGATTACACATCCTCTTTTTTTAAGTTTCATGAATCTAAATATTTTAGTTTTGACTGGTGTCCTAAGCTCTTTCAGACACCTGTCGGCTGTACTTATTTTCTAGCATGTTCCTGTTGCCATAACCAAGACTGTCAATATCAGACAGGAAGTTATAACGCTGCCTCCAGAAAACCTAAATGTAACACTTACGAAAAGTCGGCCTCAGACTTATTAGACCTTATTAAAAAGTAAGGCAATTAAACAGCCATCACGTGTAAACAAACTTAACACCAAAAGGCGTGTAAAAATAGCTTCAAAAATAACCCCACTAATACCCGTGTCTTTCACTGGAAACCAATCCAAAGAGTATATCTGACACATTAATACAACTAATGCCAAGAGACGGGGTGTAAACAGCTTTAATTTTACTCTCTGGTCTTTGTCACGACTCACAACAATCCTGAGACGCACCTTAACAGCCACAAGGGCACACAGATTCCATCAAGTAGCTAACCCAGTGAGAAACGTGGGCTTTTCTGGACGATAAAAGCTTTCTAAGAGCAGGCCAACGGTCCTCCTCCCATACTCTCGATCCTGAAAATGAAAACCGTGTCGCCTTTTGGACGAATTAGCTACCCACCCACCAGAATTTGCCGCAGTAGCTCCACATTAAGACCCCGCTTCGCCTTGCCCCTTTCCTAGCCGTAGTTTGATATCGTTTTAGTCCTTTAAAAAAAAGCAGCGGCGCATACATGTTTTTAACGGCCTTCATTTCTACCGCTAATAATCGATTTAATGTTGCAGCATCACTTGAGGACCAAACCGGACATAGCAACAGTCGCATCTCCAGCGTACTTACCTCAGCAGGAAAACTGTGGGTCAGTTGCTTGCTTCTTAAAAGCGGCAGGCCTTATTTATGTTCGCAGGTTTTCTTTTGTTTAACGTGTCTATAAAAGCATGACAGCCTGATGTCCAGCTCGCCCTCACAGAGCCGAAGATAGCTGAAGTAGCGACTGCAGCGATGGGATCCCACTTCCTAGAAGAATCTGTCATTTGCATAAAGAAGCCCCCATTGGATAAAATTGCGATGACGTTTTAAGGCCAATAACTTTCCACGCCCCTTCAGCGGTGTAATTTTCCACATTACACTACTGGTGGTTTATATATGTCCTACATATTAGCCTAAATACACGTTCGGACATCTCTATCAATATTTGACCTCTTTATATGATTTTCTGAGGAGATACATCTCTGCTAAGAGTATCTGACACACAGCCAATACCGTCCCTCCCGAACGTGATAAAAACGTGAACTGAAACCGTTATATAAAGTTTCTTCTGCGCATGTCTCGGTCTATTAGCAACATTAGCATTTAGCTGTTGTTGACAGCTAAATGATGTCAGCGGATAGCGGATAACTTTGGGTTACTCGTTCTCTAGTTCTACCAGTATTAGCAACGTGAATATTTATTTTCAGGAAATTTGTTATTCTATAATTTAACTACTTAATTCCCATTTATTCTGTGATGGTTATTACAGCATCCCCTCAGCTGTCACGCCCACCTTTGCACCTTTTTGTATCGTGAAGCTTTAAGCATTCGACAAGCTGTAGCCTATATAACGTAAGCGTAAAATTCACAACAACACATTAGGCTGAAATACAACTATACACATTACATTTAATTGTATTTCAGGTAAACACGGGGGATGATAGACCTAAATGACCAGGCTTCTATTTACAGGTCAAGCCCTCGTCATAGATACGCTGAAGGTCAGTGTGACAGGACAACATAACATTCCCTGTCAAAGAGCCTATGAAAAAGATAATTATCAGGAGGACATGTTAGGTGATTGGAAGATCTAGAATGGTCATTTTTTGCTTGCCAATTAAACACAGCCAGTCTACAACTTTTAATAGCTTTAATTTATCACTTTGAATCACTACAACTCCCATGCCTTCGCTTTAAATTACACCTGTACTGCGCTATATATATAACATAATGTGTCGTACTTTAACACAATTTCTTCTAAAATTCACTATAAAGCATAGATTGTCTGCATTTACAAGATGCTATTTATATTTGCTTATGCAAAGTTATATATTTGTGTTATTGATCGGATCTTTGGGATTACGAGTCTAAATGAGTCCAGATAATTTCATAATATTAATAAGATTAATGTCCCCACTGCAATTGCAGCTTGATATCCACTAGATGGAGACAGAGTTTAATCTCCTTGTGGCGTCTATTAATTTGGCAGGCAACCGAAAGAGGCACTGGCTTTAATGTAGTTTGTCACTTTAGTTTTAAGTACCCTTAGTATTAAGTACTACTTAAAAATAAATAATGGCTATTATATATTTGGTAATAATCAGATCTGGATCAGTTTGATTTCTGCAGTGTGACTGCTCTGCCACCAAACAGTCGAGTTTTCCCACGAGGATTTAATTTAGACTTGTTAAATCCCTTGTTAAATCCCTCCGTTTCTTTTATGTTGGGGGAAACAAAAGATCCTGTCAGCAAAATGTTCCAACTGCATGTTTACATGTAATTTTACAGTACTGTGCAAAAGTCTTGGGCCCTCCCTAATTTCTTCACATTTTTCTGGGAAAATTAGAAATATCTTCCAACTGGTTTATTGAAACATTTTCAAAGATACATGGAAATACAGTATACAAGGCAAAAACTGGAATATGTACAATTCTAACCAGCTTGAAAGTTTATATATGTTATGATCATCTTTGTTCTTCAACACAGCCTGAACACTCTCCAGAAATACGTCACCAGGCTTCTTTAAGGACATTCAAAGCTCTTCTTTGGATTGTTTACTACATTTTGTAATTTATAGCTTTTCAGTAATTGCTGATTTGGTACAAAAATGCTGTCAAATTGTGCTATCTTTGGTTAGATTCAGCTAAAGAAATAGGAAGCAGGCTGCTAGTAACATAAAGATACGATTAAAATTGCTTATTTACTAAGTTGTATGTCGTGTGTAGACACAACACTGGCTCATCTCTTGAGTTAGGGAGTTTTAAATACTTGAATGATTTATAGGCCAGTGTTAAAGAAGAATTTAAATAAAGTCTGGCTCCTTAGAAGGGAAATAAAAAGTGAGGTGTGGCTCAAGACTTTTGCACAGTACCCTATGCTACAGGTGTTTTCGTTTCCAGTATATAATCCCTGGGGCTAATTCAAATCTCAGCCTAACCTGTCAATCTGGCCAAGGGGAGGGGGTAGTGGTGCATTCACATGCTCACAATAAAACAAGTTATTCAACGCACAAATATTTTAGGGTGCACTATGAAGTTGAATAACAGGTAATTAAGCTGACTGATGCCTTTCAACGACTTTCAGTTAATTTTAGATAAAAGTTAACTCACGATGAAGAGACAAAATTAAAGTGGAAAATGCCTTTAATGGTAAGGCATATTAGAATGCATAAAGTCAATTTAAAAAATTGACCAGCACCATAGCACATAAATACATTTGTTTTCGTTCTTTGTTGTTTTGTTTAAATGTAGGAGTAAGTAAGTTTGAAGTCAACAAGAAGTAAAAAATAATGAAAGAAGTGGCGAACAGACTGCCATGAATGAATATCAGAGGACTTCCTCCTCACTTCTCTCCGCCCACCAGAAAACGTCACACGTCGTTAACTCGGGTATTAGCGAAAATCTCAGCTCTCCCATTTATCACCCGGCTCTTCATCTGCGTTTTAGTCGGAATTGCGATATTTCCGACTGCATTTCAAAGCCGCATTGGTATTCAAATTTTAAAGGTAGCGCGTCTTTCCGGACAAACAACCCCCCGGGACAAAGTAAGGCTAAAACAAATATGAAACGTCCTGGAAATGTAACCCCAGCGTATGTAGGAACATTTGCTCTGCTGCTTTGCCTGCATTCAGTTACAGGTAAGTTTCCTTTTGAATAAACGACACGAATCAAAGCGGAATATTGCGTTAACGCAGAACTTAAAAGTTTACTTTGTTGACAGGTCTCTGCCTCTAACACTAGACTCCATTTCTCCTTAAGGGGACTCTGGTGCTGCTTGTTGTATTTTCCATGGCATTTGCTTCCCTTTTCCCCATTATATTGTCAATTCACTGTGAAGTGACCTACTTTGATTGCTTTTTGTTTTTCCTTTTCACATAAATCAACGTAATGCAGGGCGAAAAGAAAACAGCAGATGTACAACAGTAGCCTAAATATCTCAAGTATTTTTACTATTCTTACTTAAGCATTTAGGATTCAGTTTTGTGCACTTTTTTACCCCCTGAAAGCAGTCAATGTAGACGTATGCCTATGATAATGTGAGCTCATTATTGTCCTGGTAGACTAGGTGATTAAATGTGAGACCGGTCTGTTATTACACGTGATACTCTGTTATTACTAAGCGCTATTCTGAGCAGTGATCATTGTACAAGAAGCGATACTTGCAGTAGTGAACAGTTCTCGTGGTTGTTTTCCCCTTTCTCAGTGGACAGTGTTTCTAGAAATGTCATTATTCTCACAGGCACACTTACAGGTGTCCCTTTAGTTGTCTCTGTGGACATCTACCTGGACTCACAAGGATTTGATGCAGATGGAAAGGAAATTAATGCCATCTGTGCTCCTGTCTGGGGCCATCATGAAGCAGCTGTCCACTCATCTAAATTTAGTTCAACATGCAAATGTGATTTTGTTCTCATGGTGGTTGTGTACATTCAGAGTCCCACCTGTCTGTCAGGTGTGGTGCATATCCTGTCCCACCCCTGAGCTGCTGTATTGTCATGCTGTGTACCTAGTCTGTTATTCAAAGATCCGCATGCTTCTGGAAAACTCAGCTAATCCTGGACATAAACACATTCTGCTGTCAGAGGTTGGCTCATAAAGACAGTGGCTACATCATAGGACCAGCTGTTTTCCAGCTCACACAGCCTTAGACACTTTCCAGCATTTATTCGGGATACACTTTTTGAGAATTTAACCACATAAAACTTTATATTGAGTCACATTTCCACTGTATTTTGGGCTATTTATTTATGTGTTTATTCTTCTGATCCGTTTTCATGGCGAATAGTTTCGTAAACATAGATTGTGCTGTATTCAAGAATAATTCATGTAGGGTTTTGGCCTCACTGCCAAACAAAATGCCAGTAAATTGCAGTTTGTTGTACCTGGAGCTGCTCACAGTTTGAATGGTGACTGCTGCTGTTGAGTCAATAGACTGGAAAAAGAAAACAAAGATAATGAGGTAAAGGTTTTGTAACTTTGAGAGATCTCGTATGACTCATAAGCTTTTGTCCTGCCGCTCCCACTGAGGTCTGAGCCATCATTTCACACAATCCAGGCATGATGTGTGACTCAGTGCCTCCCAGCAAAAACTGCAGGAGCACTGATCAGGGCAGAAACTCCAGCAACACCAGGGAAAGATCTCTGTGTTACTCTTTAGATACACCTGATGGCTGTACCCAACCATTTACCATACATTATCTGCAATAGAACTGAACTTTGGGAAATGCAGTGCTATATTGAGTTGGTAGTGCTGAGCGATACCATCTTTTAGACCTGGGGCATCAAACATAATGCCCGGGAACTAGAATTATCTGCCAAAGACACCAATTTGGCCCACTCTGCAGGTTTGAATAATGTAAAGGAGGGCATATATTTTGGAGGTTTGGAGCTTCTCCTGCTGATTAAGACATCTCCCGGGCCATTCATACTACAACAAGTAATTAATTAATAGATAAACAATTAAATGACAAGTTTTTTTGTTTTGTTGTTTGTTGTTGTTTTTTCACTATCTACTATAGAAATGTATGCTTTTTGCAGTGGATGCATGCATGTGCAGCCGCGGTGTGAATAGTAAATACTAATAATCGTTGCACTGCCTTTCCTTTATCTCTTTCACTCAGCTGACTACTGTAAGGTAAATCACTGCTACAATGGAGCAACATGCGTGACTGGAGTAGGAGAGGAACCCTTCATCTGCATCTGTGCCGATGGCTTTGGTGGAGACAGCTGTAACCTGACAGAGACAGGTAGAGCTGAAAAGGAAAATTC